TTATTATGATTATTCAGTTTGATCTGAGAAAGGAGAGTGAGAAAGCAAGCTGTCAGATCTGGGACTTGAACCTCAGTCAACCATATGGGAGTCCAGCACCTTAACCACCATACCACCTGCCGAACCCTGTATACTTTTTAAAGAATTTTTTATTGAACTTTATATGTTTATTCACTTTATTTTATTTTTTTAATTTGACCAGAGAGGAACAGAGAGAGAGACAGACAGAGAAAGCAAGCTGCTGGGGCTGGAATTCGAACCTTGGTCAACCATGTAGGGGTTTCTGGCACCCCCTAACCACCATGCCACCTGTCAGCCGCCCGGCCCTTGTAAAGACAGAAAAAATTACAATTTGAAATACTGTTTATATATAGGATATTATATATACACAAGTGACACATATTCACTCCTTGGCAAACATCAGAATATTTAAAAAAGGAAAAAATAATGCATATCAGTACATGGTATTTTTAGGTATTTCTAACATTGAAAAGAACTAGGCTATTTCTTCTAGTTCTTAAAAAGTGAGGCTAATGAGAGGCCAGCAGGTAGCATAATAGTTGGGGCTTTGGATTCTTGTGTGGTCGACCACGGTTTGAGTCCCAGACCCAGCAGCTTGATAGCTCATGCCAGATGTGTGTATGTGTATGCCCAAAATCCCAGGAGGAGAATGGAGAATGTATTGCAGCATGACCATGCCCCCTGGGGTGTGATTTCTCATTTTCACTCTCTCTTTCTCACTCTCTACCAAATGCACACACCCTATAGCAAAAATCTCTCAAAAGGAAAAAAAAGAAAGAAAAGAAATATTACTTGTTAGCCAGAAAACTATTACTGGTCTTAGAACTATTCATGGTTTTGGGTAAATTTTATTTTAGAATGAAAATTGTATGTGCTAATCATTATTATAGCAAGAATGTTGCTTTTTTAAAATTCTGACTTCTGGTTTACATGTAATTGGTGTGTGTCATCAGTATGGGCTACAGTATGGCTTTTTAACACATGCATGTAGTATATAATAAATCAAGGCTGTGCACATACTCATCTTCTTTAACACTGAACCTTATATTATGTTACCTTAAAAAAGAACACTTTATAATATATATTAACCAGATTCAAAATAATATATCTTACTTGGTAAGTTAGGTGATATAACATTTTTAATTTAACAATTATGCTAAAAAGTGAGTTTAGGGCCACAGGTGATATGGAGGTTAAGGTGCTAAATCTCAAATGGCCAACTCCACAATTCTAGACCCAGTCCCAGCAGCTTGAAGATCATGCTGGGTATATGGGTGTGTGTTCCCAAAAATCTCAAGAGGAGACAAGGAGAAGGGATTGCAGTGTGGCCATCCTCCAAGAGGAGACAAGGAGAAGGGATTGCAGTGTGGCCATCCTCCAAGGGGTTCGATTTTCAAGCTACCAGGTCTGGCACCTGAACTGTAGATTTTGGGAATCCAGCACCTTAATCACCACACCACTGCTGGCCCTAACATAAAGAGTCTAATTTCTTCTTTTTCTCTTTAAACTCTCTCAAGAAATCTTTATCCTCAAAGAAAGCAGCTCTTGAAATAAAACTATGGTTCCTGTAATTTCACATTACATTCATTGCTACACTCTTCACATAACCAGCTCACCATTTCTAACTATAAGCCAGCACACACAACATGGAAATCTGAGGTCTTTATCTGGTGACGTAGGCCCTGCAGCTCATTGTATTGGAAAGAGCGTAGGACTTGAAGTAGAAAGCCCTGCGTAGCCAACTTGGTTTGAATCCTGGCCCTAGGGGCTTGAAAAACACGTAGATTATGTGTGTGTGTACATGCCCAAAATCCATAAAGGAGAAGGGATTTTGGCATGGCTGTGCCAAACTGGAGGCATTCTTTGTTTCTCACTGTCTCTCTTTGCCTTTTTGTCTCTCTCTGGCAAGCACACACACCTTCTGCAGATAAATAAATAAGGAAACTTCATAATAATGACATTTTATTTTATTTTTCTTATTATTTTTTTTCTAGAGAGATTTTTGCAATAGGGTGCATGCACTTCCTGGAAAGACAGAAAGTGAGCAATCACCCCTGGGTGAATGTCCATGCTGCAATCCCTTCTTCTCCATTCTCCTCTTAGGATTTTGGGCACACAAGCACATGCGCCCAGCATGAGTTTCAAGCGTCCAGGTCCAAGACTTGAACCATAGTCAGTCATGTGGAGTCCAGCAATGAAACCATTATGCCATCTTCTGGTCCCAATAATGACATTTTATTGATGACTTTTCAGTGTTTGTAGCACTTTCAAATATGCTCTTGAAAAATTCACATACTATTGTGAGGAAATATTACCCCCATTTTCCTGATGGGAAAATAAGGGTTTTAGGACAAATTGCCGTATTAAGGGTCATAAGGCTGTTGAGGCTGTAGCCAAGGCTAAACGCCATGTCATCTGACTCCACATCTAGTGCTTTTTGCTTCCTCTACTGAAGCCTTACATTTGGAAAATAAATTTTTTTCTTTTTTTTTTAATTAATTAATTAATTTATTTATTTATTTTTATTATCATCATAATCTTCTTCATATTACATTGGATTACATATAACTTTACAGTGTATTACATTGTTTCTTCAAAAGGGAATGCCATGCACGTCAGTCAGTACAGAGACATTAATCTCCCCACTTCAACATTCCATATCTTTTCTGTTTTCCCCAATCATTATCTTTATTATTCTAATTATTTTTATAAAACAGTCAATTGCTATTTCTCGTTTTGCTTGTAAAAATACTTTGCCCATCATGAAATACTTCTCAGACCAATCCAGTTGAGAATACTATACATGTCATCATGAACAGTTAACAGGTTTCTCTGCCACTGTTAACATTAAAATACTCCTTTTGAGGAAGAATTTTGTATACATGTTAACTGGTGAGCGATACAGCACACAAGGTGCTATTTCAGCTTCACTCTTTCACTAGTAGGTATCAGGTTTTTTAATATATTTTTCTCTATTCATGATAGAATGTATGTGCATGCATATGAGAATAACAGATAAGGAGAGAGAGAGACAAATGAGCACTCTCCACAAGGTCTGGTCAAACCACAATCCCCTCCCTCTAGTTCTCTAGCCCATTAGATCTTAGGCACTTGCACACATGACCAGTGTGTTTTAGGATGACCTGGCCAGGGATTAGAACTATGGTTGCTAAGTAAGATCTGGCTTCTCTCTGTCTCCTTTTCCTCCCTTTATTCATGAGAGTACACACATGTGAGAGAGAGAGAGAGAAAGCACCCTCCAGTGGGGGCTGGCGTTGCCACAGTCCTCCTTCCAGTTCTCCATCCCATCAGGATCTGGGGCACACATGTGTGCATCCCCCACTTGTTGCTGCCAGGGCCAGGACTTAAACACCAGTTGGCTGTGTGGTATCAGGCCTCCTCTGCAGAGCACTTAACTGCTGCACCGTAGGGCTGGTCCAGTAGATCACGCCTTTCTTGAGTAACACGTTACTGCTCTGCCATGGGACTAGCCTATAGGTATCAGTTTCTACAATGAGCAAAACAGTGTCCTCACTGTTGACCCAACTCAAGTCGAGCTGCACAGCTACGTCACAAGGGACTCAGGCCCACAAACATTTTCCTTTTTGCTTCATCTCTTCCAGAAGTCAGTAGCAAGAATTATTGCCATAGTTCCAAGTTACAGATTCCTCATAGAAGCTACAGGGGGTGAGAAATGTATTTGAGGAGAAGAGGCAATCCATGACAACAGGATTTAAATATAACTTTGAAAAGAGTGTTGGGGGGAGAAGCATAAATATTGCAGAGTGGCAGTTAGTGATGAGAGAGAACCAGAGTGAGGCCTCAGGGCTTTCTTCTATCTTTTCCCTTTTCTAAAATTCACTATGCCAGCCACATTGTAGATTGTCTTATCTGTCCATGAAATCATTCCCTGTGATCTCTATTGCTCATTCTGTCTTTTGACAAAAGAATCCTATTTGAATGGAGGTTACAGAGGTGTTTTATTATTTTTTTCATGTGAGTAAAATAGTATTCGTAGGCCAGCTACAGTGGCGTAATAGTAATGGAACACTGTCATGCTGAAACCACATGCGAAGAGGTCCCAGGTTCGCATCTCAAGGTTTCCCTGTAAACATTGGACACATGCCTGGGTCTTGCCTGGCAAAGGCTGGGAATGGATCATGGCATGGTGACCTCATTGGGGGTATCTCTCTCTCTCTCTCTCTCTCGGCGCGTGTGTGTGTGTGTGTGTGTGTGTGTGTCTGTCTCTCTCTCTCTTTTATGGAAGAAATAAGTAAATAAACTTTAAAAAGAAAAAAAGAACAATTTTTGTAGGAAAATTAGGAAATAAAATAAGCAAAAACTTGAAACCAGTAATCATCTATTGTCCTGACACTACTTGTTAACAAATAACCCATATTAACATTTTGATGAATGTCTCAGCTTTTTGATCGGAGTGGCATGGCATGGATTACCTGTTCTTAATTAGTAATACTTTGTTTGATGGGTTTTTTTTGCATTAAGTGCTAGGCTGAGATGTTAAGTTCCACTTGTCTAAATTTTCAATAATAGAAAATAAATAACAACAGCCTCCTCAGTAGCTCTATGGCAGCTATTCAGATGCAAGTCATTGTGGGCGGTTTTAAATACAGAAGGTTTTATTATCATAGAAAAAATGATATTGTTTCTCAGAAAGTCTTATGACCTGCACTTTGCTTGTGGTTGTTGTGGTGGGAGTTGTGTGTGACTCACAGGCCAGGCTCAAGGATGAGTCTGGCAAAGACTCCTTTCTTCTCCACCGTGTTCAGGACACTCAAAGGAAGTCTATTTAGTCTGGCTAAAGTATGATATTACACTTATTATACCTTCCATGGTAGAAATTAGGAATACCCTTTTCTAAGATACTTCTTTGAAAAATGTCTATTTCATTCATATATATATATATGTATGAGACATATGTCACCTAAATAACAATTCTGTTCTGTTTATTTTCACCACAGGCAGCAATAAGGAAAGAACTGAATGAATTTAAAAGTACAGAAATGGAGGTTCATGAAGAGAGTCGACAGTTTACAAGGTAGGTAGACAAAATGCAGGTGAGCATGTTGAAAATGCTTAAGATGGTAAATAATGGTAGATAGTTTTTGGGTTTTGTTTTTAAAGTTTTGCTATAGGCCGTGTGTGCTTGCCAAAGAGAGACAGTGAGAGGGAAAGTGAAAAATCACCCCTGAGGGGTGATAGCCATGCTGTAGTCCCTTCTCCTCCATCCTCCTCCTGGGATTTTTGGGCATACAAACACACATCCTCGGAATGATTTCAAAGCCACTAGGTCTTGAACTCAAACCACTGTTGGCCTTATGGGAGTCCAGCACCTTAACCACCACACCACCTGCTGGCCCCAGTGGTAAGTGTGTTTTATTTTATTACAACTAAAAATTCCTTAAATGCATAATTCAACATAAAACCATCAAATGAACATTCTGCTTCTCCCACAGCCATCCTTGTTTGTTTTACTGGGAACCTAAAAGTCTTCGTGGCAATTTTAAAGACACGACAGGATCAGACTATCAGTTTCTAAAAATTTCATCACAAGCTCGGATATCTCTCTTAAGAACATTAAGACTAATCATGCTGAATAAGAATTTCTTCAAGTAAATCCTTTCTTTTGAAGAAGTCTAAATACTAAGTTTAAAAGGCTTTATATTTTGGTTCCTGTCCTAGCTTTATCTTCTGGGCCAGAATACAAGTATCAACATCCTTTATTCTGCTTTTGAACTCATTGAGTTGTCTGCCCAGAATAGATGCTGGTGTGAGTCAGTGTGGGGCACGTGTGTCTCTGGGTTCATAGCTCACAGTAGACATAACTTGGGCTAGATGCGATTTCCCAGAAGACAGAATGAGAATCCCATTTTACCAGAGCCACAATCTCTAGATTCCTGCCGCGTTTCCTCCCAGCACAGCTCACTTTCTAAGGCTACCAAAATTAGAGGGGACCCGAGTGATGACACTCTCTGACATTCACATTCACAAGTGTTCTTTTCATTTTTTATCTCACAGCCTTATGTGCTTGGCTCTGTGTAGCAGGTATGTTCCTAAAAATTGGCATACAAACCCAATCTGTAAAAATTCACTTGATAAAAAGCATACCAGAACAGGACCAGCTCTGGGGCCTGTCGTTTAAGGTATCCAAATCCCACATGGCTGACTGTGCAGTTTGAATCCTGGACACAGTGGCTTGAGAAACACACCAGGCTTGTGTGCATGTGTGCACATAATCCCAGAAGGAGGGAGAAATGGAGGAGAGATTGCTGCCTGACCATGCCCAGCCAGGGCTTGCTTGCTCCCTCACTCTTTCTGGTGAGCACACATGCCCTCTGACAAAAAAAATAAAAAATAAAAAATACCAACATGGATGACTACTTGAAGAAGATCATGTAGGTCTTTATGAAAAACAAATACTGATCCCTGAGGCTTGAACCAGCTTCTGTGGGGCAGCAACACGTCATGCCACACCTGTTCCCACAGTGGTTCCTCATGATGGTGGTGCTCCTTATGGGGAGCATGTCACGGGACAAAGAAAACAGCACCATAATTTAAAGTAAACCCCTTTCCTGAAGTTCATGGGGGGCCTCTGTTATCATGGACTTGCTCCACAGCTATTCCTAACTTTTCCCTAAGGGTATTTCTTCTTTCTTTCCCCCCCTCATTTATCACGTTTATTTGTATTTGTATGCAGGGCTTTCCGCTATCCTGAATATGAAGGATTTTTCTCCATTTGAAGCCTTTGCCTTTTATAATCTACACTTGGACTAATTATATGCCTCTATCCTCACAGACTAATTTGTCCCCCTTTTTTCTCCCTTCTTCTTGGCAGCAGGAAAATTTCATGTTGGCGTGTGTACCTGTAGCTGCACTTTTCTAACATAGTTAATCATGGAAGGTGGCTGGATATTTGGGTGACAGCAAGCTAACTGAGGCAGTTGGGCAGCTGAGAAAATGACACGTGTGTGGATAGCTGAGTCTGGCCCCCGAGCTGCAGTGACTCACATAGAGCAGGACAGCTTTACTTGTATAGCATTTTCCTAGAAATCGTAGTATAGGATGACCTTACCTTCACTTGATAGCTTGATACAAAGAATGAATTATGGTAGACAATAATCAAGTGAAAAACAATGCATTTTCCCCCTTTTGTTCTATTCATGGTGTAGAACACATGTACCCACATAAGAGAAGGAGAGAAAGAGAAGCACCCTCTACAGGGTGTGGTCTCCATGTGATCCCCTTCCTCCCGCCCACTGGGAATTTGGGCATGTGTGTGGTATGTTTCAGGGTAACCAGCGGAGGATTTGAAGTGGCATTGGCCCTGTGGTTTCCAGCTCTGCGGTCTAGTATACGGGTGGCCCATGCTACCAGACTGCACTGAAAACACAATGCATTTTAATGGCATTCTCATTTTATAAAAAATATTTATACTGAACAGTTAATTTTTGGTTACATTTTGTGAGCAATTACAACCAAATTAGGGTCCAAGGGGGTCCAGCAGTTAGCGTAATGGCTATGTCGCTGAACTCCCATGTAGTCAACAGCAGTTCGAGTCCTAGACCCGGTGGCTTAAACTCAGGCCGGGTGTGTATGCGTACGTGCCCAAGATCCCAAGAGGAGAATGGAGGAGAAGGGATTGCTGTGTGGCCATCCCCCCTGGGGGGTGATTTCTCGCTTTCTGTCTCTCTGTCTCTCTCTTTCTGGCGAGCATACGCACCCTATAGCAAAAACCTCTCAAAAAAAAATTTAAAAGTTAGTGCCCAATAAGGATCATTTCCTTTTTTCCTATGTACATCTTATGTGCAAAATTAATACATTCTGGGCTAGCTGGTAGCATGGTGGTTAAGGCGGTGGATCCCACATAGCCAACTCTGGTTCGAGTCCTGTACTCAGTGGCATGAAAATCATTCCAGCAAGTGTGTGTGCATATGTGCCCAAAATCCTGGGAAGAGAACAAAGGAGAAGGGATTGGGGTGTGACCATCCCCCAGGGGGGATTTCTCAAGTCCCCACCTCCATCTCTGTCTCTTTTTGGCAAGCACGCATGCCCTATAGCAAAATAGTAATAATAATAATAATGATACATTCTAGGCCTATAATGTAGACCTTTCTAGATTTTTTTCTGTGCATTTCAAATGTGCGTATATATAAAATATATGATTATATGTATATATGTATTTATATATATATATATATCCTCTTGTGTAACATCTGGATAAATCTTTCTGTAGATATATATATGGATATATTGACTGCAAGGCATTTCCTAGATATTTTACCATGACTTATTTAATGATACAAAACAATTATTCTATTGATGTTTATTTATGGAATTTTTGCTTTTTTCATTATTAAAAGCAATGCTACCTTGGCTTTCTTTTTTATACACATGTATCTTTGTGAATACATGTTAGTATTTCTGCTGTGGTCCCAACCAATTTTTCTTTTTTTTTTGAGAGATTTTTGCTATAAGGCACGTGCACTCACCAGAAAGACATCCCCAGGGGGGATGGCCACACTGCAGTCCCTTTCCCTCCATTCTCCTCTCGGGATCTTAGACACGCACGCACACGCACCCGGTGTGAGTTTTAAGCCACTGGGTCCAGGACATAAACCGCGGTCGACTACATAGGAGTCCAGCAGCATAGCCATTACACTAACTGCTGGTCCCGTGGTCCCAAATTTTATTTGCTAAGTCACTGAATGTATATTTCTTTTACATTCAAGAAGATGCTATTTTGTTCTTTTTCAGTTAATGACCTACAGTTTGTGGGCATGCATCGTCTGCTTATTCACCCTCATCAGCATTTGGTGGGGGACAGTTTTAGAGGTTTATATTTTAAAAGATGAACAATAATATCTCATTTAATTGATTTCTGTGATGTTGGCATCTTTGCATGTCTTTATTGACCTTTTTTTTTTTTTTTTAATTGCCAAAAAGAGCATGTGCTTTGCCAGAGAAAGAAAGAGAAAGTACCCTCCAGTGGGTTGTGGTCACACTGTGATCCTTTTTCTCCATTTCTGTTTCCTAGAAGGATTTGTGGTGTGCACACACACATACATTTTTCAAGCTACCAGTGTCTGATTTGAACCATGATCAACCATGTGGGATCCAGCTTCCAATGCATAACACATAACCACTGTGCTACAGGGCCAGACCTATTTTCTTTTGGTTGGTTTGTCTTTCTTTTATGAATTAATACTAATTTCTTGGCTATTGTGGCTACCAGCCCATTACTACATATAGCGTAATATTTTTCTCCATTATAGTATTAATCTTTTAACTTCTTAAATGATCATTAGTTTCAATTTTTGCATATTAATATCTTTCTGTATGAAAATACTTCAAAAGTTCATGGAAAAGTGGAATTAAAGTACAGTTTTACTTATTTTTTTTTTGAGAGGTTTTCACTATAGGGCGCGTGCGCTCGCTCGACAGAGAGAGAGACATAGAGACAGAAAGCGAGAAATCACCCCCAGGGGGGATGGTCATGCCGCAATCCCTTCTCCTCCATTCTCCTCTCGGGATCTTGGGCATGGACGCACTCGCGCCCAGCGTGAGTTCTAAGCCACTGGGTCCGGGACGTAAACCGCAGTCGACTACGTGGGAATCCAGCGACATAGCCATTACGCTAATTGCTGGTTCCCAGTACAGTTTTATTTGAGTATAAAAAAATTGAAATCCACCCATAGTGTTTTCATAATACCTATTTTTCATTAAGTATTTGAAAACCCCTTTTCACCTGAGTTTTCTTTTAATATACAGATGGGTCAATTTCTGAATTTTTATTTTTTTTCTAATTAGCTGTTTGTCCCTGTCCTGTCATACTTTAATTAGAATAGATTTGTAATATGTTTTTATGTCTAATAAGGTATTTTTTCATCTTCAAAATTCAATTTGCGATTTTTCTATCTTTACTCATCTAGAGAAATTTAGAATATGGTTGTTGTGTCATAAAATATTCTATTGATATCTTTATTGATTATGAAATATTAGTAGAGGGACTAGCAGATGACATAATGGTTACATCACTGG